CCCACCCCACCCTCCGTCCCCCCCCCCATCCCCCATTGTCCTCATCCATAGGTGCAGTTTATGTTCAGTCTCTTCTTCCCTCAATTTCCCCAATAGTAAATCCCTTTTCAGATAGTAAATCAGTTACTTAGCATTTTCTCATATCAATAATACCTCCACATGCCCAATGATACACTTCACACAAAAGACATTTCCCACTAGGTCAACCAGCCTCATCCAGGCCCCACCCAAGGCACTCACAGATCAACACCCCAGTCCTAAACTAACTCAACACATCCAGATCTAAGCCTTCATCACTTGATTCAGCAGACCCTCAAGTTCCCACGAAAGTTTCCAGCCATGTCTGAGAAGCAGCCGTGGGGCAGGGGCAGGCAAGGAGCGAGCTGTTCTGGGCCTGGCTGCTCAGGGCCTGGCCTCTGTTGCTCTGGTTCATTCCACAACCAGCTGCTCCAGGTCTGGTCACTGCCGCTCCCTACCTAGTTGCTCTGGACTTGGCTGCTGCTGCTCCGGGCCTGGCCGCTCCCAGCCTGGCAGCCGCTGCTCCGGGCCTGGCCGCACCCGACCCGGCTGCTCCCCCGGGCCGGGCCGCTCCCAGCCTGGCAGCCGCTGCTCCGGGCCTGGCCGCACCCGACCCGACTGCTCCCCCGGGCCTGGCCGCTCCCAGCCTGGCAGCCGCTGCTCCGGGCCTGGCCGCATCCGACCCGGCTGCTTCCCCGGGCCTGGCCGCTCCCAGCCTGGCATCAGCTGCTCCGGGCCTGGCCGCAACAGCCCCGCCTGCTCCCCCGGGCCTGGCCGCTCCCAGCCTGGCAGCCGCTGCTCCGGGCCTGGCCGCACCCGACCCGCCTGCTCCCCCGGGCCTGGCCGCTCCCAGCCTGGCAGCCGCTGCTCCGGGCCTGGCCGCACCAGCCCCGCCTGCTCCCCCGGGCCTGGCCGCTCCCAGCCTGGCAGCCGCTGCTCCGGGCCTGGCCGCACCCGACCCGCCTGCTCCCCCGGGCCTGGCCGCTCCCAGCCTGGCAGCCGCTGCTCCGGGCCTCGCCGCATCCGACCCGGCTGCTTCCCCGGGCCTGGCCGCTCCCAGCCTGGCATCCGCTGCTCCGGGCCTGGCCGCACCAGCCCCGCCTGCTCCCCCGGGCCTGGCCGCTCCCAGCCTGGCAGCCGCTGCTCCGGGCCTGGCTGCACCCGACCCGCCTGCTCCCCCGGGCCTGGCCGCTCCCAGCCTGGCAGCCGCTGCTCCGGGCCTGGCCGCACCCGACCCGACTGCTCCCCCGGGCCTGGCCGCTCCCAGCCTGGCAGCCGCTGCTCCGGGCCTGGCCGCACCCGACCCGCCTGCTCCCCCGGGCCTGGCCGCTCCCAGCCTGGCAGCCGCTGCTCCGGGCCTGGCCGCACCCGACCCGGCTGCTCCCCCGGGCCTGGCCGCTCCCAGCCTGGCAGCCGCTGCTCCGGGCCTGGCCGCACCAGCCCCGCCTGCTCCCCCGGGCCTGGCCGCTCCCAGCCTGGCAGCCGCTGCTCCGGGCCTGGCCGCATCCGACCCGGCTGCTTCCCCGGGCCTGGCCGCTCCCAGCCTGGCATCCGCTGCTCCGGGCCTGGCCGCACCAGCCCCGCCTGCTCCCCCGGGCCTGGCCGCTCCCAGCCTGGCAGCCGCTGCTCCGGGCCTGGCCGCACCAGCCCCGCCTGCTCCCCCGGGCCTGGCCGCTCCCAGCCTGGCAGCCGCTGCTCCGGGCCTGGCCGCACCCGACCCGCCTGCTCCCCCGGGCCTGGCCGCTCCCAGCCTGGCAGCCGCTGCTCCGGGCCTGGCCGCACCCGACCTGACTGCTCCCCTGGGCCTGGCCGCTCCCAGCCTGGCAGCCGCTGCTCCGGGCCTGGCCGCACCAGCCCCGCCTGCTCCCCCGGGCCTGGCCGCTCCCAGCCTGGCAGCCGCTGCTCCGGGCCTGGCCGCACCCGACCCGCCTGCTCCCCCGGGCCTGGCCGCTCCCAGCCTGGCAGCCGCTGCTCCGGGCCTGGCCGCACCCGACCCGCCTGCTCCCCCGGGCCTGGCCGCTCCCAGCCTGGCAGCCGCTGCTCCGGGCCTGGCCGCACCCGACCCGACTGCTCCCCCGGGCCTGGCCGCTCCCAGCCTGGCAGCTGCTGCTCCGGGCCTGGCCGCACCTGACCCGGCTGCTCTGGGCCCGGTTGCCCCGGGCCCGGCCGCTCCGAGCCTGGCCACTCCCGACCTGGATGCTCTGGGCTTGGCTACTGCTGTTCTGGGTCTGGCTGCTCCCACCCCGGCTGCTCTGGGCCCGGCTTCTTCGGGCCCGGCCACTCCGGGTCTGGGTGTTCCTGGAGTGGCCACCCTGGGCTTGGCCGCCTCCGCCTCATGCCTGGCTGCCACTGCCCCAGGTCTGGCTACTCCAGTGCTGGCTGTTGATGCTCTGGTTCTGGCTGCTGTTGTTCTGGGGCCTGGCCGTTGCTGCTCCGGGTCTGGCTGCCACTGCCTTGTGCCTGGCCACTCTAGGCCTGGCCGTCGCTGTTCCAACATTCTGTCCTTTTTTTTTCTTTTTAAAACGCATTTATGTTGCAATGTTGGCTGGTGAGTTGAGTTCTGACTTAGTCTTTGATTTTTTCAAGAACTTCTTTGTATTCTTTCTTAAGTAATTTTACTATTGTTTGCTCTCACTTGATTTCTTCACATTGAGAACTTCTTTGGTTTCTTCCTCCTTGTCCTGGGAGCTCAGCAGGTTGGCCTGTGGCACCCCTTTGTTCTCCGCGGGCTCCTGTGCTGCTTCAGCCTGTTGCCGGGACGGCACCGCCCAGGAAGCAGCCCCAGGCCTTGGCTCCATTGCCCGAGCTCAGTGGTCAAAGGCTCAGGGGCACCCACGCCCCCAGGGGCCCCGTGGCCCGCCTCCTTGCTGGTGCCCAGTTGGCTGGAGTCCGGCAGGGGCTTCCGCTCCCCTCCGCGTTCCCCCAGCCTAGAGCTTTTTTTTTCTCCTTCCCGCTAGGGAAGTCCAGCATCAGAGTCAACAGACTGTCCTCTGCGCGCAGTTTGCGCGAGTCCCACAGACTGTCCTCTGCGCGCAGTTTGCGCGAGTCCCGGGGGCCCAGCCTTTCGCCGCTCTCCCCGGACTCCACCTCACAGCCCCGTCTCCCTCTGCCTGAGCCTGGGTCCCCAGGGATTGGCCCAGAACTGGGGTTCGGAGCAGTCCGGACTGAGGCTCAGCGCCGCCGGAGGCCTTGTTTCTTCCGGCTAGGGTAACCCAGCATCAGAGTCAACATTCAGTCCTCTGCGCGCATTGCGCACGACTCCCGGGGCCCTGCCTTTCACTCCCGGGGCCCTGCCTTTCGCCGTTTTTCCGCCTCACGGCCCTGTCTCCTCCCGCCGGAGCCTGGGTCCCCAGGGTCTGGCCCATAACTGGGGCTCAGCGCTGCCGGTTCGGGGGGGCTCAGCCCAGGCTGGGGGTTTTATTTCCTTCCTGCGAGGGAAGGAAAGGCAGCTCCCTGCCCTCTCCTCCTCTCCGGCTGCGACCTCTCCATGCGCGCGTGCGGGCGGGCGCGCAGCATGTCTCCGTACCTTAGGCTTTTTTTCAGCTCCTCTGATTTTTTTTCTGGTTTTCTCTTTCCTTCTTGTTGTAGAAATTTCAGTCAGTCGACTACCTGTAGCTCTGGGCAATGTCCACTCTACATTTTAGTTGTATTCCATTGAAATTGTTGTGTGCTGCCGCGGCTAGATGTCTACCCGAGCAGCCATCTTGGATCCTCTCTCTGCTTCTGTACATATTTAGTGAGTTTTAATTAGATGTTAGACATTGCAGTGTTCACTTATGAGTGTCTGGATTTTGCGTTTGGCTTTGTTCTGATAGGCAGTGGGGTTACTTACAATTCCATTGATCCTTTCAAGGCTTGTTTTTAAGCTTTGTTAGAAAAGCCTTTTTGTTATAGGGATGGTTCAGCCTCATTACTAAGTTTTGGCTCTTCTGGAGCCAGTACTACATGTCCCAAGAAATCAATGCGGACTCTTTAGAGGTAGAGCAAATGATTCCCAGTCCCACGTGAGCTCTGGGAGTTCTCAATAACTTTCTTTTGCTTGACTTCAAGGCGTTTCCCTCTATAGAGGAGCATGTAGTAGTTAGTATTCAGCAAAGACTCACTTCAATAGCTTTTTTCCTGCTTCTCTCCCTCCTGTCTAGAGCTTGTCCCACAGTTTCTAGTTAGCAGGCTTCCTGTACTCCAATCCTTCAGTCCAGAGAAAATCACTGTGTTCTGCCTTGAGATCTCCCTCCTTGCTTTGCATACTACGTATCGCACGTGCCTTCTTGCCTTCTGGCAAAACACAGAGGTGATTGGAGGGCTCATCTCATTTGCTTTCCTCCTCTTGGGGATCACAGTCTGATGTGATCTCTGTTCAAAAATCTGAAAAAAGTTATTTCATACCTTTTGTCTAGTTTTCTGATTACTCAAGGCTTGAGGATAAATTTGCTTTTTGTTATTTCTTCATGGCTGTAAGAAAAAGATTTGTGTATAGTCTAGAAGTTGATTCCATCATTTTGGGTTGTTTATTCTCCTGGCCTTGTTTTCTACATGTGTGATCTCCACTGGTTTCAAGTCTACCTGTTCGTTGGGGGCATGTAACCTGGCCCAAATAACCCCCGATCATTCTGAGTGATTACTATGAAACTGGTGGGTAAAGTGAAAGTTGGTTTGCGAAGAGCATCACCCATAAGTTTTTGTTTTCAGGGCCATTTGAGGTCCATACCTGCTGAAATGAGTTCTGTAATTAGACTCATTGATTGAATCACTTGCTAAGATAGTGTCAGCAAAACTTTATTGAATTTCTGTTATGTGTTACGTATTGCCCTTGTTGGTGGGGTAGTGGTAAACACTTAGTCTTCAGAGATTCCTTAGTTTAGGAATGTTCTCTGAGTAAAACCCTTGCTGGGGGGGTTCTGAGACATAGAAGGTGTACTCTCTGCCTTCCAAGAACTGATGACTATGACAGGTTCATACATTCTCCTCTGTTCTCTCTGCAGCTCAGTAAACGCTCTGCCACTGAGCTGTGTGGCCGGAATGATGGAAACCTTAAGGTGATATTTCCTGATGTAGAGATGGAGGATGCCACTGACTCAGGGCTCAGGGTCAGAGCTCAGCCTGGGGACTATGTACTGGTGAAGGTAAGTGTCCTTTTGGGCATTTGGCTTGCCCTGTGAATGGGGTGTTGGATTGGGTAATACAGGGGAATGAAATTTTTTCTTTTGGAGAAATTCTTTAGTAAAATAAAAATTTCTTCTCAATCTAAACAATGGAAGAGCACCTTGAATTAAATTTTAGACTGTTTCTAACTAATGCCTTCTTGTTTTTCTTCTCTTTTTGGGAATTTGGTGAGGTTGGAGTATATAGTAGCATATTGTTTCTGGGTGCAGAGAGGCCAGGAAGTATAAGTGATTTTTAGTGGGTTGATAGTTCTCTGAAGCACCAGGAATTTAAGTAGCTTGCTCAGAGTCACACACCAACACGTGGTAATGTAGAGATTCAAACCGAGGCAGCTCAGATCCTGAGTCCACATTATTAACTCTGTTTAAGGTACTCACAACTATAAGCCTAATTTTGCCTACCCCTATATTTATCCATATTATATAAATATACCACAAATTATTTATGCATTATACTGTTGTTGGCTAGTTTGGTTGTTTCCAGTTTGGAGCTATTATGAGTAGAACTAGAAGCCCGTTGCATGAAGATTGTGCAAGAATAGGCCTTCTTTCCCCTTGCTTTGCTCCTGGCTGCCCAGGAGCCTACAAGTCTTTGCTCCTGGCCGCCCGGGAGCCTACAGTCTTTGCTCCCAGGCGGCTGGGAGTGAAGTCTTTGCTCCCGGGCGGCTGGGAGTGAAGAGTTACCCACTCCAGTAGCTCCCTCTGCCCCACAGCCTCCCCCTCATAGCAGGCATCCTGCCCTGCTTGGCTGCTCTGCACCTGTATGCAAATTAACCTGCCAACTTTGGTGGGTAAATTTGCATACTCCTGATTAGAGTTGCAGAAGTATGGTCAATTTGCATATTTCTCTTTTATTAGTGTAGATTGCTATGATGTTCCTATACACATGTTTTAGTGCACAGACATTTTCATTTCTGTTGGGTATATGGCTTGGAATTGCTGGGTTATAGGGCTTGTATAATAGAAATAGCCAAGGGGAGAGGGAGAGACAGGAAGAGATTAACCAAAGAATTTATATGCATATATGCATAGCCCTTGGACAAAGACAATAGTGTGGTGAAGGCCTGGGGTGGGGTGGGAGCTGGGTGGAAGGAAGGGATAGGGGGGAAATAGAGGACATCTGTAGTACTCTAAACAATAAATAATAAAAAAATAGCCAAAGTGATGACCATTTTTTAAAAATATTCACTTGAGGATATTTTCCCATTGATTTTCAGAGAGAGTGGAAGAGAGGGAAAGACAGAAATATTGATGTGAGAGAAACACATTAATTGGTTGCCTCCTGCACGAGTCCCAACCAGGGCCTGGGCCTGGGAGGAGCTGCAATCGAGGTACATACTCTTGAATGAAATCCAATCTGGGACCCTTTAGTCCACAGGCCAGTGCTCTATCAACTGAGCTAAACTAGCCAGGGCATGACTGTACCATTTTACACTTCCACCAACCGTGCATGAAAATTCCAAAGGCTTCCTATTTCCTGCTTCCATTCTTGTCCTCCTCTGGTCTGTCTGCCGCACAGTAGGCAGTGTGATCTTTCTAGATCAGATTGCTTACTCCTCTGCTTAAGCCCTCCAATGGCTTCTCATTGGAGCCAGCATGAAATGCAAGGTGTCCAAGGCCTTATGTATAGATCTGTCCTCGCTTCCTTTGCAGCCTCTCATTCCTCCACTCTCCTTATTTCCTCTCCTCCAGCCTTGGTAGCCTCCCTTTTGTCTCCCAATCTAGGTTACCGTCAGGGACTTGGTACATGCTGTGTTGCTTGGGAGGCACTTGATCTTTGCCTGGCTTCATTTTCTAAGATTTGCAGATTCTCTCTCAAACATCACTTCCTTGAGAGGGCTTTTCTGGCCACTGTCGTGCTAGAGCAGCTTTCCTTCCGCCTTGCTCTTGTCACTGTTGACTACATTAGTCCATTTTATCTTCATAGCTTTTCTCAGTGCCTGAAATCATCCTCGTTTGTTTTGTTACATATTATTCTCTGTGTTTCCCCATCCCCCTTTTGAAAGCTCCTTTGAGGTCAGGGAAAACATCTCTTTTGTTCACCTTACTATTTCTAGCACCTAGGACTATTTCTGGAACATATTAAATGCTCAATAAATATTTACTAATGGACCGACTTGTTCTCATGGTGAGAAATGAGACCACTGGTACCTTTGGGGTCACATGCTTTTAGCTCTTAATTAGAGATGAAAGAGCCTTTCTCACCAAATTTTGGCCTTAAATATCCTAAGGAAGGATTTAACTGGTCCAGCCTGGATTACAGTTTATCCTGGGAGTTAGGAGGGCTGGACCAGTGATGGGCTAAGCTCACAGCTGAACCTTGGTTGATGTTGGGGAGGAGCCATCTCCCAAAAGAAAAGGAATGGCTGTTTGGTACTGACTAATGGTAATATGCATTACCATTGCATCAAACACCTCTTCCTCCCTGGATTGGGGGCATACGGGAACCACACAGTCTCTGCTGGCCTGGCGTCTCCATCAGGTCCCTGGTGGTGGCCTCTCCTCTGGAGGCTCCACATCATATACCTGTGGTGCAGTCTTCGTTACCTTGCTTCTCCTGACTGATTTTCTTTCAGATTACCTCCGCCAGCTCTCAGACACTGAGAGGACATGTGCTCTGCAGGACCACTCTGAAGGACTCCTCAGCCCATTGCTCACCTGAGTGATATGTGCGGTCCTTGCCACCAGGAAGGGAGATATGACTTCATACAGAGTTGATGGGGGCGGTCCTTGCCACCAGGAAGGGAGATATGACTGGTCACTAATGAAAGAAGTAATGAAGCATTGAAGACAAACTGCAAGTGGTGAAGCAACTTTATGTCAAATGGAGAAATGCAGCCCTTTGCTGCTATATGAACAGCCGTTATAATCATTAAATTTATCTAAACTAAAGTGGTCCCTCTGTCTTTCTACATGATTATCGTTTCTTCATTGGTAAGTGTTTCTGGGATTTTCTCTAGAATGTCCCATGTTAAATGATTCCCATTTCAGTTTCTGCTATGGACACTGCTAACCCCTCTGGTTTTCTCCCCTGAATCCTAGGAATTAGAGGCTGAAGCAGAGGCCATGGTGGAGAGAATCATTTTCTTGGGAAAACTGCTCTAGGTCTTTCTAACGTTTTGGTTTGATGACATTGACTCACCTGCTACTTCCTCATTTTATTCTCATATTTTACCTGAGGATTCTTCTCTGGACCTCGTTTTTAGCCTGTCAGTTCATTCCTTGCTTTCAGGTCTGACAGCACTTGGAGTTTTGGAAGACATCAATGCCTATTAGTAGGCTTTGGACACTCATTCTTGGCCCATTTATTACTAAGGTTATGCCATTCTCTGAGTATCATGTATTCTGAAGCTCTGATAATAGGTGAATATATTTAGAATTTTTATGTTCCCTTGATTAATTGATTCTTTTGTCATTATAAAATGACCTCTTTAACCCTAGTAATATCTTTTTAAAAAAAATATATTTTATTGATTTTCCACAGAGAGGAAGGGAGAGGGGTAGAGAGCTAGAAACGGTGATGAGAGAGAAACATCAACCAGCTGCCTCCTGCACCTCCCCACCCCCACTTGGGATATGCCTGCAACCAATGTACATGCCCTTGACTGGAATCGAACCCAGGACCCTTCAGTCTGCAGACCAATGCTCCATCAACTGAGCCAAACCGGTTTCAGCCCTAGTAATACCTTTTGCTTTGAAATCTACATTGTCTAATATTACTATAACCACTTTGGCTGACTCCTTCCCTCCCTTTTTATTGAGATTACAATTCACATAGCATTGATTTCACCATTTTAAAATGTACAATTCACTGGTTTTTAGTATTTTCACAAGGATGTCCAACTGTCACCACTATCTAATTCTTTTCATCTCCAAAAGAAACCCCATGCATATTAGTGGTCACTCTTCATTTTTCCATCTCTTATTGGCAAACATTACTATATCTTCTGTCTCTGGATTTGCCTTTTGTGGACATTTGTATAAATTTAATAATATAATATGTGGCCTATGTTTGGCTTCTTTCACTAAGCATAATGCTTTTAAGGTTCATCCATGTTGCATAATGTGTCAGTACTTCATTCCTTTAAAAAAAAAAATTTCATTGATTTTTCACAGAGAGGAAGAGAGAGGGATAGAGAGTTAGAAACATCGATGAGAGAGAATCATCGATCAGCTGCCTCTTGCACACCCCCTACTGGGGATGTGCCCGCAACCAAGGTACATGCCCTTGACCGGAAACGAACCCGGGACCTTTCAGTCTGCAGGCCGATGCTTTATCCACTGAGCCAAACCAGTCCTGGCTTCATTCCTTTTAAAAAAAAATATATATATATATTTTATCGATTTCAGAGAGGGAGGGAGGGAGAGAGAGAAACAGAAACATCAGTGATGAGGGAGAATCATTGATCAGCTGCTTCCTGCACTCCCCACACTGGGGATCAAACCTGGGCAGGTGCCCTGACTGGGAATCGAACCATGATCTCCTAGTTCACAGGTTGATGCTTAATCATTGAGCGACACCAGCTGGGCTCATTCCTTATTTTTTTTTAAATTTTTTATTTATTTTTTAAAATATATTTTTTATTGATTTTGTACAGAGAGGAAGGGAGAGAGATAGAGAGCTAGAAACATCGATGAAAGAGAGTCATCGATCAACTGCCTTTTGCACACCCCCTACTGGGGATATGCCCGCAACCAAGATACATGCCCTTGACTGGAATCGAACCTGGGACCTTTCAGTCCCCAAGCCGACGGTCTACCCATTGAGCCAAACCAGTTTCAGCTCATTCCTTATTTTTTAATGGCTGCATAATGTCAATCAATGTAATACACCATGTTAATAGAATGTATTGATTATTAGTTCAATCTCCTTACTAGTTCTAGATCTACTTATATTTCCCATTTCTTCTTGAGTCAGATTTGGTAGTTTGTGTGCTTTAAGGACTTTGTTTATTTCAATCAGGTAATCTAATTTGTTGGCATACAGTTGATCATAGTATTCTCTTATAATCCCTGTATTTCTCTAAGATTGGTAGTAACATCTCCTCTCTAATTTCTGATTTAGTAAATTGAGTTTTCTCTCTTTTTCTTTGTCAGTCTAGCTAAAATTTTGTGAATTTTGTTGATTGTTTCAAGGAACCAACTTTTGTTTCCATCAATTCTTTTGATTTTCTATTCTCTAATTCATTAGTCTCTGCTCTAATCTGTACATTTCATTTCTTCTGCTTGCTTTGGGTTTAATTGTTTCTTCTTTCTCTAGTCCTTAGGGTAGAAGGTAGTTTATTTATTCGAGTTCTTCTTTTTCCTTTATCTTTTTAAGAAAGATCTTTATTATTTTAGAGCAGATTTAAGTTTACAGCAAAATTGACTGGAAAGCATAGAGAATGACTTGTAAGTCATTATACATTTGTCAAAACCCAGAGTGTATACCAAGAGAGAACCCTCACATGAACTATGGACTTTGGGTGATAAATGTTAGTCAGGGTAGGTTCATCAAATGTACACTCTGATGTGGGACATGTGTGGGGGCAGGAGGTATATGGGGATTCTCTGTGCTTTCCAATCATTTTGCTGTAAATTTAAAGCTGCTCTAAAATAATAAAGTCCTTTTTTATTATACAGAATAGTTTCATTGCCCTAAAATTCCTCTATGTTCTACCTTTCCTGTTTTCCACAGAGGTTGAACCATTTTTACATTCCCACCAGCAACGCATGAGGGTTCTGATTTTTTCATAGACTCATGGTGGAAAGTTTCCAAGTAGGGAATGGACATTTTTATAAAGAGCACTCTGACTGCCAGGTGGATGATGGATTATAGGTGACAAGGGCAGGGAGGTCAGTAGCCCTACTAAATGATGTTGGTGACTTGGACTAGGATGGTGATGGAAAGAAAGAAAAACGGGGAAAGGTGTTCTTGAGGCAGAATCAACAAGACAGGATCTGTTCCTGGGAGAGGGAGGAATAGAGAACAATTCTCAAGTGGCCAGCTAGGAAAGCTGGATTTTACTGCCGTTTACCAAGGTAGGATTGACTGTGTGAGGTAATGGCCTGGCAAGAAATCAAGTCGTAAGGTTTAGACAGAGCTGAATGGAGTAGTGTGATTTGGACTTTATTTTGTAGAGTGCTGCCCCTTACTGTGAGGAAAGCCCAGTGGCTGGTCCTGCTTGGCATCTCTGGTCTTGGTGTCCACAGTCTGAGCTCTTTTGTTTCCAGAGCAGATATGTTAATGCAGACACTGGACATAGGACGGAGAGTCTCTGCCTGGTATAGAGATCACAGTTGTGTTTCTCAGCACCCTTCTTGTAAGCTTGTCTGGAGTTCTCTTTATTTACAGGTTTCCTACTTGGCTTGTCTTCCTCTAACAGCCACTTGGCATGGCCTGTAGCTGCTGAGCTGGGACCTAGATCCTTTGCTGCCTTGCTCGTGGTAGTAGGCTCTTCTTACTTGCTCTGTTCCATATATCTTTTAGCATCTAGTCTCTGCCTTTTCCTGTGTAACATGTGATAATGGGGATTTTCATGTTGTGTGAAACATGAAAATCCCCTGTGTGATTTTCATGTTGGGCCAATGGGCAAAAGAAAGCACTTGGAGTTGGGGAGGGCACAGGTATGGGTAGAAAAGTCTTAATCATGGTCAAGGTTGTTTCTTAGTGCCCTAGATAAATTAATCCTGGCCTTTGCTGCCTCATCATTCACATTATTGATTAAAAATATGTTGTTATTTTTAAAAAAATATATTTTATTGATTTTTGTACAGAGAGGAAGGGAGAGAGATAGAGAGTTAGAAATATCAATGAGAGAGAGTCATCGATCAGCTTCCTTTTGCACACCCCTTACTGGGGATATGCCCGCAAGCAAGGTACATGCCCTTGACCGGAATCGAACCCGGGGCCCTTCAGTCCCCAAGCCGACGCTCTATCCATTGAGCCAAACCAGTCCCGGCTGTTGTTATTTTTTTAGAAAGAGAGAGGAAAGAAGAGGGGGAAAGAGAGAAAAACATCAATCAGCTGTCTCTTACACACTCTGTAATGGTGAATAAGCTTACAACCTAGGCATGTGCCCAGACTGGGAATTGAAAAGGCAACATCTTAGCTCAATCACTAAGCCACACTGGCTGGGCTCATTATTGATTTTAGTGTGTAGAGTACTTTTACTTATCATGAACACACTACAGAACTCCTTTTTGTAGGAATTGAAGACAAGTGAGTCATTTTTTGCATGAAAACAGGATAATTATTAAAGAGATGATTACAAAATGCCCAAAACCCTCTTCTTGATTTTCTTGCACTTGTTGCTTCAAGGTAGCCCTGGTGAAATTCCAAAGAGTAGCTGACATGTTCAGAACACTGTTCAGCTTGGCTCCTTAATCACAAGGATGCCCTTGCTCCATGTTTCTTCAGAGATATTCCAGAGTGCTTTCATTTTCGGAAATGCTTTGGTAGCCCATGTGCTGGGTTTAGTTTGCTGCCTGAAGGTTTCTCTGTGGGGAGATAGAAGAACTAATTATAACTTTTAATATATAAGCTGGCTGCAGGCACAGGCGGTGCCAGCTCTGCCCTCCATCTCCCTGAGCGTGCTGAGGAGTTGGTTGGGTGCTTGGAGGTACCCAGTGTTGCAGCTCATAGCCCCATCTCCTGTCTGTCACCCAATGGGATTCCTATGGGGCT